TTTTTTGCAGGATTTGCAGGTGTCCGTTGATGGCAGGAGCAAAAAAAAAAAAAAAAAAAAACTAAACCGGTACCGGTACCGGCGGTGCCAGTGACGAAAATTGGGAACCGGACACGGTACCGGTTGGGGCGGTACCGGTACCGGTTCCAGGCACCGGTTGCTCGTCTCCGGTGACGGTGACGGTACTCGATACCGGCGGTACCGCCGCCGGTGACGGTACCGCACCGGTACCATGTCCAGGCCTACTGTTGGGCAAGGGGGTGGGGGCGCCTAGGGTGGGCGATTCCACTTTTTGGACCGATATGACTAATTTTTAACCACACTGATTATTGGACACTTTTATCAACAACCCACCCTTGCCCTTAGGGCTTAGACCATGTGTTATATATGGGGTTTAACTCACAGGTGTGAAGTAGACATCGCATCCTCTCACGGTGTAACTAGGATTGTAAATGGATCAAATTGAAGCGAATACCGAAATATTGAATTTGTATTTGTTTAATTTTTTCAAATACGAATCCAAATCTGAACATGAAGTAAATTAAAAATACGATTTGAATTTATATTTGATTAATATTCAAATACATAAAGAATCCTAATAAACGAATATTTGAATAATCATACTCTGTAATTCATATGATGGACCAATCCAAATTAAACAAATATTTACACATCATCACTTCCCGATCATAACACCCTTTACAAGACACATATTTTTATCACTTCACATCATACATGCATCTTTATACCTCGTCAAACTCGTCATAGCTTATGGCCTTATACTGCCACCGGATAGAGTATTGAGAGCAGAAATGATGAGTACTCCGTAAAACTCTTAATTACTACTCTGTATATCGTTGTTGAAAATCGATCCCGAGACTCAGAGAAATAAAAGCAAAACGAACATATAAATTAAAATATATTAAGATAAAAATTTCATGTTTTTCAATCTCAAAATAGTACCACATGTCACATTATTACGTTACAAACTTTTATTTTAGAATAAAAACATTAAAACTTACTTTCTCAATCTTGTGGGAGTAGTTGTTGCAGGGTGTGTGTGAAATCGAGGGCTAAGAAAGAAACACGTACATAAATACCACTCCGTACATTTGTTCATGCAAGTTGCATGCCAGCGCAACCACCAGTCCACCACTCTCCACTAAACTAAGCTAATTACCCGCCTATTACACACCTTCTTTCCACTTTCCCCCGATTCTTTCCTTATTTTCACAATGACCTCTCTAATTCGGTGCTCCCACCACAATGTGCGGTCGCACTTCCCGGAAGGCCGCCGCCGCCGCGGTAGCGCGATGAACTTGACCAATTGGAACCCGCCGCCGCCGCCGCATCGGACCGGCTGCTGCAAATACTCAAATGTATTCGCGGCTCCTCCTCGACGCCACGTGGCAAAGGCTGCTCGCCGGACCGTAAACGACGACGTATGCTCCGACAGAAAGACACACACCTTCAAAATCACCTTCGATATTCCCTTCTACGAAGCACCGGAGGTAATTATTTATGAATTCTCGTTTAAAACAAAAACCACTACTTCTCTCAAATTCCTTAATTTGAGGTTTTTCATGTCATTTGCTTTTTTACCGTGTACTTATTCTCGTGGTGGAAAGTCATTCATCTTTTATCCGAACATTATCTTCTGTACCTGCTCCCTTCTTAAATCTAAAACCTACTTACCTTTTAAATCTGGAAAAAATTACTTACCTTTATTCCAACTTTACCTAATTTGTTAAAAATAATTTTACCTTTATTGAAATTGAAAATATTTTCTCAGTCACAATGATAAGATTGAGCATTTGGTTGAATTACTCCTTGACACATAATAATACTCCCTCTGTCCCCGATTTGATTACAATTTTTTTTCCTCTTTCCTCTCGATAACTTTTGTTTGTTTACGTGATTTCATTAAGTATTTGATAAAATAAAATACTCTTGTCACCTCTTGCTTTGTAATTGACGTAATTTCTTTACCTCGTAAACTCCAATTTGATTCAAATTGGGGTCGCATAAATGGCATGTTCTGCCAGAAAGTTAGAGATTATTTTTCATTAACTTTTGCTTTTAATTTATTTTAAATTCCCTTACATTTTTAAAAGAAACTTACCTAAACAGTATGAAAACATAATAATTTTCTTAATGTAGTACCATATTTTTATTTTCAATGTCCACTGGTCATGGTTCAAACTAAATGCATTAGACATTATTCAAGTACTATTTAGGGAATATAAAAATTTAAGTACTACATTAGAAAAAGACATATTTTAGTAATATTTAGTGTAAATTTCACTTTTTAGAATGACTTTCTACCTCCATCTTTTTTTGTTAAGATTAGTCATACCTCAAATTTGATTCTATTTATTATGGAGTATAAATGATTCATTTAAACGAGCACCATTTTGAGCACATTATGAGTCCACTAACAAGCCCATTAATCCACGGCCTTACTTGAACAGGATCTATTCGATAGGATGTCTCTCCAAAAGAAGCCCATTAATTCTAAATCCTAATTGATAGTACATTCGTTTACATTGCTCTCACCAATGATCTGTGATCTAATTCCACCAAATTGTTCATCGTGAAGAATTCATTGTAATAAATTGATTGTAATATGCCACAACACCCAAACCCTTTTTCCGTGAAGAATTCAATTCAGATTTACGCGGATAAATTCGAGGACCATTAGAGCAACTGTAACGCTTTTTTAGATTTATCCCACAACTCAAATGCAACAGTATGAGACACAATACTCGGTTGGATAGATTCATCCACTCTCTTGAATATCCAATTACATATAATTTGGTTATTAGCACACCATGACACCAGGCATACAACTCATGCTCATCTGAGGGCTTAGGTACTCTGTGGTTGATAGAAAAATAGATTTGCCTCTACCGCCCAAAGCGTTGCGAATAGCCTTTTCCCAAATATCAAATTTATCACTTTTGAGAAGATATTTGGTCAAAGAATTACAAGGACCTTTAGATTAGATGGGTGGAGATAATATATATGGAAGATGGATCATGAATCAATCTTGTCTTCTTGGAACTTACGGTGATGGCCATGACGACATGAGACGATCGAGGGACTGCCGGACAAGGGTTGCTGGACGGAGCAACAAACTCGACCACAACTTTCTGCTGCCGTCGCAGTCGACCGGAGGAGATCCTAAATTTTGAAATGAACGAATCTTTTCAGGATGTAATAAATGCCATTAAAGTTTAATATCTACCTTATAATTCAAACAACATTTTTTTTTTGTTTGCAGGCTTCGTTTGATGAGTATCTCGAAGAAAAGCCGAGACTAATCAGGGCAATATCTCCTTATGAGAAGAGATTACCCGAACGAATTAACGAGGTATATATATTTGTATATATACTTCCTCCATCTCAAAACAATCGTCTTTCATCACCTAATAATTTTCATTTATTTGTGTATTTTAGTTGAGTATTTGAGAAAATAAAACATTCTTTAGTCTAGGCCAGCCAAGTCCTAAGGGCGAAGAGTGGGTTATATCTAACTCCCAAAAGCCACACTAGCTAGGCCTGCAGTTTTGGGTTCTCACTTTTCTTTCTCGGGCCTGATACACTTGGTCTGAGTATATATTTGCTGCAATTCACATTCATGTTCATTTTTTTTATCTTACCTGATCTATATTGAATTGGTTAATTGTGACACAGGAAGAATGGAGGATATACATGGCGCCCATAGAGTTTTTGTTCATGTCGGTGGCGCCAGTAGTCCACATGAGAGTGAGAGTGACTTGCAAAGGCCAAGGCGCGTGTTTCCCTTCCGGCATTCCTCCCAACACTTCCAAGATTCTCGAGTTGAAAGCCGTACGCAACCTACCTCATCCATTCTTTCTGTTTGTCCCAGTTTAAGTTGTCGTGCATTATGATACACACCGTATACAAATGAAATGTATGACGTATACTGTCAAGAAACCAAATTAACCAAAAGCTCAAGCTTGTGGTTGTGCCCCAGGAAGCCTCTCACGTGCAGGCGTAATTTTTTCAAGCCTTGCACGTTGAGTTTCGAACTCGTGACCTCTTAGTGAACAAGGCTATGATGCCATGTTAAGAACCCAAATCAACCAAAAGCTCAAGCTTGTGGTTGTGGCTCATGAAATGTTTCTTATATTCTAAATGTTTCTTATATTCTAACATGTACAGATAAAATCGGAGCTGAAGGGGAGCATGGAGGGGTTGTTGAAGCAAACGAGATTCGAGCTGGGGGTGGAAGGAGTGGTATACCCAGTGAGGAAAGGGAGTATCAAGGGGAGCAGCAGGATGAAGGGGGAGCTTGTGATGAGCATAACCTTTGATCCCCCCTCTGCATTTGCTCTCATCCCTCAGAACTTTCATAATGACGCCGCGCAACTGGTAATTATTTAATTAATCGTTTCACTTATTCTGATTACTCTTGTGGGATTTAACTGGGTTGTTGTTGTTGTTATTCTGATTAATCATTTCACTTGCATCGCTAAAGCAAGGGTACATACTTGGTATTATATTGGCTCGTTAATTGCGCTCCGGTGTTTGTCGTGTCTTGTAATTTGTCATGCTGTATTTTAGATTCTGAAGAGTATAGGAGAGAAGATGGAGAGAAACGTTAATGAAGGGCTGCTGGCGGACTACATCAAGTTCAAGAAGGAAAAGCTTTGAAATGTTTTATTAAATTCCTCATTCCATTATTTTTTATTTATATTAATAAAAGTTAGTGGTACAAGGGCATAAGAATGCACCATATTGTGATCGGTTAGTGGCAAAGTGCGCCTATGCCATGGGGTAGAATGGTCCAAGATATGATAATTTAAAAGGGTCTACTTGTATGTAATTTCAGAAATGATAATTAGTCCTAGCCTTAATCAAGACTAGAGCTTATGAATAGCCAATGCAAATAAGAACTTTTAATTATGATTTCGAAATGGAAGGAGTATATATTAAGCTGCATTTGGTGCAACGATGTTCCATAAATGTGTCCTTAATCTATAGGCTTAGATTGAGAGCCTAAGAACATTCAAATAATCTTTTGGGTTAATTCTTGTGAGATAAACCTCATTACTATGTTCAAAAAAAGTTGAATAGCCTTATTGCATAGTAATAAGGGCATGAAAGCACGGGAAGATGTAATCATCCCCGGCCCAAACTCCCTCTGGGTCTCCGGGTACAAGAAAGCCATGAGATTGGGTGCGACAGATGAAGTCTTCGACCCTCCCGCTTTTCTCCATCAATAATTACTCACTTCCTACAAAGCCACTATATAAAGGATGACTTTTGCTTTCTTGTGGCATCCAAACCAACTATGGAGTGAATCCTTAATTTTTCTGCCGTGGAAAGAAGTAGGACAAGCAGCGAGGCCATGGGTTTACAAGGAGCGAACCACACTGTCATAAAAGCTTGGTTGGCTTACAGTGTTGTTGGATTATACGCAGTGACTGGGCTGGCCCTGAGAAGTAGATGGCCTGGGTCGAGACAGAAAAAGAAGTCCTAAAAATTTTATTTCTAATGTCTTAATGGATTTAAGTACATAAGCTAATTATATTCAATTAAATAAATTACATACAATAGTATAATAAAGAGATTATGAATACCTACCTTCCCAAATAATTGTCTTAAAAATTGGACCAGACGTCTGAGCTAGTGAGCCAATGATTAACAGGTCAATCCAAAGATCAACGGCTCGGTTAACTATCATTAAAAGAATAATATTATATATTATATTTTTTTTGTATATATTATATTATTAGATATTATATTTGTATTTTTCACTCTTTCATTAATTAATTTTAAACATCATCTTGCATATCGCGTCACGTTTTCAATTTGCTATTTGTATATTATTTTATTAGTATCAAAGATAAATAATAAGTATCTAATAAGAAGAAGAAGAAGAAGAAGAAGATTTTAAGTGTAGGGAGTAATATTTTAAGTGTAAAGAATTATATTAAATTGGACTGTAATTAAAAATAAAATTAACATATTTAAAAATTAAATTAAAATTTATTGAAAACAAAACTTCACATTATTTTTTATTTTATCAAATACATATCAAAAATTAGTAAAAAAAAAATTAAACTCTTACTCCGCAAATAATATAGTCGGAGTTTTATTAAAACGGATATTATGATTTATGGTTCTATTTCACATGTCACATATCAACAGAGTTTGATGATTTTGAATTGCAATGAAGAAAGCAATCCATTGGAATATACTTGGAATGTTGTATATAAAGAAGTTTTTTAGAATTTGTAAGGGAGAAAGACCAAAGTAGGACTTAAACTTTAAAAATATACCAAAATAGGACTTCCATTTTTTATTCCCGAAATAGGACTTACATTACAAACCATGGTCATATACATTACCAAAAAACATAGAAATTTGTACATGTACACGGCCATATTACCACAATGCAAGGTCACATTACCACAGTGCAAAATCCTATTCCGGGAAAAAAACATGAGAGTCCTATTTTGGTATTTTTATCTATGTTTTAGTCCTATTTAGGATGATTTCTAAATTTGTAATTATACATTTTTATTTAACTAATATCATGCAATTTACTATATTAAACCAAAAAATTAGTATACATTTGAAAAATTTGTGAGTCATCATTATATCAGTAATTATGATCTATTTTCGTATTTCATAATCTATGCACATAATGTTCTTGCCGTGCATCGCACGTGTTAAAATCTAGTAACAAGAAAAGGAGAAGAAAAGAATTTGAAGGTGTGAATGGGAAAAAGGAAAAAAAGAAAGAAATAAAAAAAAAGCAGAAGAGAGGAAACGTAAAAGATAAATAAAAGAAATTAAGTTTTTTAATAAAAAAAGTTGCCAAAAAAGAAAATAGGAACATTTATTTGTAGACTGAAAAAAAAAAGGAAAGTGGGAATTTTTAAATTAAGGACGGATTATTATTTGGACAGAGAAGGAAATTTGTCCCAAGTCCTCCGCGATTTTTTCAGTCAAATTCAATTGGTATCTAGTTCTTTGTTTTGATATTCCCATTCATTCGGTTCATCCTTCTTCCAAATCCGCAGAAGAAGCAGGAAGATCAGAAGAGGAAGAATCTTCAATTATATTCCTCTTCACTCGATCAGGTAATATTTTCAATTGGCTTTAACCTAATTATTCTTTTTGTTATTTAAAGCCAATTATTTTCAATTTAATTTACATTATGATATGTTCGGAAACTTGTTTTTGGATTTTAAATTCAAATTTGATCCAAATTACTTCTTTGAGAATTCAAAGTTTTTGTATTTGAATTTTGACAAAATTCTTCTAATTCAAATCAAACTCAATTAGAGATTCACACCTCCCCGACCTTGTCATCTACAAAGTCAAGGTTACCTTTCTTTAAATTTATAACTTACATTCAAAAATATTCTCAAACAACATTTGGAAGAAAGATATAAAACTGTTTAAAAAGAAAAATAGAATGAAAGATGTGAGATGGATGCGATCGTATACTACAAGTACATTGTTAAAAATATACATATTTTTATTTTTTATTTTGGAGAGCAAGAACAATTGATTTTACGAATCATAAACTCAAATAAGTCTGTCACATTAGCGTTAACGGTTTGATAAAATTTTGATTGTTTTTTTTTAATTTTTAAAATTCTAAAATTAAACATTGTTGTTAAATAGCTTTTCCAAATCAATAATGCTAAACGTTGGAGTTGCTCTTAAGCACACCCTAATGCGTGGACGGTGGAACAAAATAAGGCCTTAAAATTTTAATCTTAACGTAGATTATTCTATGAGACACTTTAGCTCATGAGACGTGCAATTCTTCATGATTTTCCTTGCACTTTTTTTTTTAAAAAAAATTGCCTGCTCATCACATCGTTCTCACTATTCTACTCAAGGATTGGTTTGGTGAGTTTTAATCTACTCCGTATAAGATATGACATGAAAATGATATGGGTTCTTGAAATGGAGTTTTTTGAGGAGATTATAAATTATCATATGACTATATGAGTTTATGATATGTGAAGATATCACATCCAAATTCTTTTTGTTTTTCACCAAACACTAAAAAAAGTTCATATCATAACCATATCTCATGCGCTCACCAAACGGGCCACCATAAATTGTTAGCTTTACCCATTATCATATTTTTCTTATTTTTCATATTTATATTTTAGAGCTGACAAATTGGTAGAATATTTCAAATTCGGGTCGACAACTTTATTTGTAGAGTATTTTAATTCATACTAGTAGTTGCATTTTCAAAATACATACTTCTTCCATCCCACAACAGATGTCCTTTTTTTGCAAAACAAAGAAAAATTTCATGTTTTTTCAATTTATTCTATTTAAAAATTGGTATAGAAATATGAAGTGTAATTTAATATTTTAAAAGTATGTCAAAAGTTCTACAAAACAAGATGTGACAATAATATTTTAATTTATCAAATAAGCAAAGAAAAAACACAAATACGTAGTAAACAAAAACCGTCGTGAATTTTGAATAGTGGACATGAGCATCCATTTTGGGACGGATGGAGTATATTAAAGCATGTTCGTGATTTGGTGTACCGATTTTGAACTGGTTTGAGAAGTGCATGTATTTGATTTAGTATCATTGGATTCAGGTTGAACCAACAGATCATATACTTTATTTTTAGAATATTTTTAAATTCATTGTAGCACTTGACTTTCATACTAAAAGGTTAAAATATCAAGATACATAATACTCTTCATACTAAATTGATTTCAATACTCATATACTCCCTCTGTCCACCATAGATTTCCCAGACACTATTCACAGGATCAAACTTTACTCATTTTGTTTGTTGAATTTTACTAGTCATTTCATAAAATAATATAGTCTTGTCACATCTAGTTTTGTAGAATTTTTCATGTAGTTTATTAATATATAAATTTTATTTTAAAATTTTACTGCTATAATCAATTAAATTGAATTGAAAATAAAGTCAGTCAATCCTCGTAACGCGCAATGGGAAGATCATACATGGACGGAGGGAGTATTAAATACCGAGTATATATATGTGTGTGTGTGTGTGTATACTCGGTATATTAATATATGTATCACCGTACCATACTGGATGGACTAGGGCTAGGGTAGCATTGAAAGATGCAAAGAGGAGAAGAAATAAAGAAAAAAGAGGCAAGGCGAGATGAGGGGGGCGACGACCGGATAAGTGATCTCCCACTCCAACTTCGGGGGGCCATTGTATGCTTGCTGCCGGTGGAAGAAGCCGTCAGAACCACCGTTCTCTCAAAGTCATGGACACATGTTTGGACCCACTTTAATCACCTCACCCTGGATATGGACCCCTCTAAACTCTGCCGCCGCCGCATGAATGGTCGTGACACCCAACCTTTCAAAAGCCTCCTAGACTCTCTTGCGCGTCTTAATGTTGGCATCCGCAGTCTCTCTCTCTTTCGGGCACGCGGCGCCCTGATACAACATCTGGTGGATGCCGATGATGAGCACTACTACTCATCTGATCATCAGTGGAGCTTATTTAGCAAGTTCCTAGAGGTGCTCGACCTATGGAATGCTCAATTAATGGCACGACCCATAATAGCATCTGAGCGACCATTACCTTTTCAACGTTGTACGAATCTCAGGACGCTCAAGTTGAGTAAAGTCTCACTAGGAGTCCATTGGTTGGAGGCTGAGATCTTTCCCTATTGCAACCTTCTTGAGAGCATGTCCCTGCACTCCTGTGATTTGCTGGGATTGGGACCTTTACGGCCCCTCAAAGAAACACGCCGCCGCCGGAGGGAGGTGGTGTTTAGCATATCAGCCCCCATAAATCTGAAATCGCTGGGGCTTCATAGGGTTCACCTCAAAGGTGCAGATTTTCTCTCGATTAAGGCACCTGGTCTTCGTAACCTCGCGCTCCACAACCCATACTTTTACTATTATACAAAGGTTATTGACGATGTTCCTGAATTCAGTTTTGCACTTGACGCTCCCGAACTTGTTGCACTCCAAGTCCATGCCATCAGATTCGATGCACCTCCGTATCCACAATCTGGTGGACGCTCCAAATTTTATTACTTGTCTTGCACCCATATCCTCCGTCTCTTCTTCCTTTCATCTCCGCAGGTACGTTATACTATATATTATTCACTGTTTTGTGTTTTCTTTCTTTCTTTCTTTATTTTTCTCTCTCTTCTTTTTTTTGGGTCATCGTTGTTATTAATTTCCTGCTTGTGGGATATTTAATTTCTAGGTTCAACAAAGCACCCAATTTAGAAGTCTAAGAAGCTTGTCTAGTGATTTAGATTTGAATGATGCGGGAGATCGTGCACTGTTGTTGAGGATTCTTAAGCTCTCTCCATCTTTAGAGAGGCTCTACATTAGCATCCCTCACAAGGTAACATTCTTAATTTCATCTCTTGTAGGGGAGAGATTGTATGTTTATATTCCACTGCACCAATTGATTAAGAATTTATCCCAATTTATAGCATGTGCTTATTTCTAACTATATTTTAAACATCCGACCTCTCCCCTACCCCGAAATGTGCAGGAGTCTTTGAGGGCACTGGTTAATGTTGTTTTTTTTTTTTTTTTGGCTTATTTTTAAATATATTTATCCAAATTCTTGTGGAGAAAAGCAGGACAGAAGTTCCAAAAGGTTCATTTGCCAGAGTCAATCTCATGGCGATCACGTGTCGGAAAACCCAGAGGATCTTGGAGATTACATCTTTCCATGCTTGAAATCAGTCAAAGTCAGATTGAACACGGATAATATACCAAAAGATGTACACCATTTTTTGACAAATCTGGAGCAGAGTCCAAACAGACCACAAGTGCTAGTGAAATATTTTAAGTGGGTGCATTTAAATATTTAAGTGGGAATGCATTTTATTTAAGTGCTTTACCATCAATTTTTATTTTTGAACAAGTTTAAATTTTTCTAGACTTCAAATACTCCGTAATAAAGTTTATTTTATGCACGAGACAATGCCTTATGCAATTTTTTTTTTAATTTTATACCTCATGCAATTGGACTCTTATTAGGGCATGTTCTTTAATTTGGTTAAAAAATAGAGTTAAATTTTAGTTGAAAGAAATTAGAAGAAGCTAAAAAATTTTATATTAAGAAGAAACTTGAAAAGGTTGAAAAAACTTGGAATGAGTTGAATGTTTGAAAAAAAATGAGTTGAATGTTTACCAATGACATATATTACATTGGCCAAGCCCATCTATAGGGATGACAAGAAGAAATCTTGGGCATATAGTGCTCGTAAACATTTAAAAACTTGGAATGAGTTGAATGTTTGAAAAAAAATGAATGAGTTGATAAATGTTGGAAAAAATGAAAGATTTTAAATTAAATATTACTCCATAGTATATTTTTGAAATTTTTATTTTTATAACTTGTGCTTTATTTATTTCAAATTTTTCTTTTTCTACAGTATTATTACTTTTTGTAACACATTTTAATCTTAATATCAATAATATAATTTTTTTGTCTCTTAATTTTGATACCACTAATTAATCCCTAAAATTCTGGATAAAAATAATAATTTTTTTTGTTACTCTTATTTCAGCGCATTTTTTATTACTCCCCCCGTCCTAAAATTAACTTCCCATTTGACTTTTCACGGTCTCCAATGTGACACTTTGACCATTAATATCTCCATTTTTATATGAATATATATTACAAAAATAACATATTTCAAAACTATGTTTCAAAATGAATCTATTGACAATAAATTTATATGAAAATTCAATATATTTTTTCCGTAATAAACGGTCAAAGTTTAAAAAGTTTGACTGCAAAAGTCAAACTGGAAAATTAATTTTAGGACGGAGGGAGTACTATTAATGGAAAGGAAAACTTGACATAAACAATGCGGAGTATATCATTATTGCACATTCGGTAAATGTAATCTCATATCATACTATATACATTAAAATCCATACTTAATTTAAAAGCAAGAGAAATTTTAATTTGGACAATTCTTCCGGCCCATTTGCATGTGACATGCTGACCATTGAAAATAAACGGAGTAGCCAGCTCCGTGTTGGGAATTAACTCTAATTGTTTCATACATTTAATTAATGTCTTCACCTTTTATAATTTTTTATGATCAACATTTTGGACGGGCAAAATATTGACATTGTATAGTTCCCAAAATAATTTGATAAAAATTTAATCTGCATAAAAATATCTCCATAGATTTTAATATAAAAAACAACAGGCCCATTGTAAACATAAGAATTTAATGTCTATAAAAATGCGTATTAGTTAAAAAAAATAATTACTGAACATTTAATAATAAGACAATATTTCCATATATAAAAATTTGATGGCGTTGAATTACCATTGATAATTGGAAAAATTGACAACACTACTCCCAAAAATTACAGATTTTACATAAATACTCCCAAATTTGCTTATTTACATCATTCCTCCCACATTTTCCTTTTATTTACATCATCACTCCCAAATTTGGTAGTGATTATTAGTGTTAGTTGGATGCATTTTATTTGCGCTAAGTGAGCAGTTAAAATGCAGACATGTATTTTTTTTCACTCTAATATACCAAAGTCACCTCAACTTATTCTCTCCATCGACTTTCTCACGTCTTAGGAAATCTAATCATTACCCTTATTTCCATCACTTTTAAAAAAAATTCAGATTTCAAACATTCTAAATCTTTTTAATGTTTAATATCAAGTCTGTTCATATTAATTTAATTTGAGTTCAATAAAAAAGATGAAAAACCCTGTTTAAAAAGACACACTCGAGGAAAACTGATGATGAAGCAATCGCGGAAAAATGATGTAAATAATAGGCAAATCTGGGAGTAACTATGTAAATAAATAAATTTGGGAGTACTTATATAAAATCTGTAATTTCTAGGAGTATTTGTGTGAATTTTGCCTTGATAATTTGATATAGTGACCGACATTCATATTTAAATTGGATAGAATTTCTTCAACTGTATTTGCTCTAGGAGCTAAAAGGTTATCAATTGGTTGGTTGCAATATCGATCGAAATATATTGAAAAGGTCCCAAGAACTTACAAAGGTATCATTGCCCATTTTCAAAAATATTTTTCCATTCATATTTTTTATTTCCAGTTAAACACTTTCAATTTTTATTAAAATGTTTTTTATATTTTACCTATCACATCATATTTTTTGAAGTCAACAATAATTTAACACATCCTTAATTTTATACTTGGTCAAAATTAGAACACTTTTTGACGACCGAGGAAGTATAATTTTTATCGGATATTTTTCGAAGCGATTGTTAGAAAATGCCTTGAATTTGTAATGTAGACGTATTGGGATTACGACTATGAATAGGATTAGGATTATCTTTTCTAGTCTCATTACTCTCATATTTATATATGTAGTAGGATTAGGATTACCCATCTCCTTCCCTATGTACTCTCCCCATCCACAAATAAACTTTGCATTGCGCGTCAAATCATTTTATATGAAAAATGGTATTGAATTAAAAAATAAAAATTACATATTTAAAAACTATATCAAATGATCTACAAAACTAGACTATATTATTTTATCATATGGGTAACAAAAATAGGCCAACAAAGTGAATAAAGTTTAACCCTGTGAATAGTGAACATAAAGTTTATTTGTGGACGGAGAGAGTATATAGCTTATATATATACTCTCTCCTCAAAAACTATTCCTATTTCAATTTTTTTAATTCCAACAAATCACTCCCACTTTCTATTAAAAAAACCACTTTTACCCTTACTTTTTTATACCCTACCTATTACATCATACTTTTTTTCTAATACTCAATCCATCACATCTTACCTTTACCCCCATCACATCAAGGGCAAAATTGGAAGTCAATTACAATTTAACACTTCCGTATTTTTACACAAAGTCAAAATAGAAACGCGTTTATATAATTAATTTAGTAATTAAACCTTATAATGCTAGAGTAGAGTTCATGTATATTCATTGCATAAGAAAGTTTTAGTTTTAATTTGGAATTGAAAGAGTAATAGATTTTGTGTAGCAGATGGTACAAGATGCTTGATTAACAGTTATTCTCTCTTATTGTTTCCATCCTTTTTTATTTGGATTAGATTGAGAAGCAAAGAATATTCAGTTCATAGCATCTTCTCGATTGATTTTTGTTACTAGAGGTAAACTCTTGAGCAACAAAAAGAACCAAACAAAATACTAAGGACACAAACTAATAAATCAGATCAATTAATAAAGCATAAGATTAAGAAAAAGAATGAGACAAACAGAGATCATGCTTTACTAATAACAGGTAAGACCTTTACATGATGCATGTTACTGCAAAAGATGAGTTGCTGCATACTTGAGTAATGTCTAAATAGTAATAGCTAATATAATAGGGTAAAGGGAGTCTCAAAAAAGTTTAATTTGGGCAACAGGTTAAAGCATGTGTGCATGCAATTACCCTAGCTATCATCTGGTCTGGCCCTCTCTTTGCAATTAGTAATCACCATTTATATATTTATACCTCCTCAGATTCAATCAACCATCTCCTGATCCCCTCCATATCTGTAAGACAGCAATAAACAAATACTTCAGCAAACATTCTCAATCAACACACAAACAACAGGAATCAAAAGAAAAAGCTGCATTTTTAAAAGAAGACAATTTTAGTCTGTCAAGAACCTCTAATCTAAAGTGAGACTAATAAGCCGCTCGCCCGTATCTCCAATCTAAAGTGCAATGAGAATGTGGAGAGCGTTACTCATGTGTTGTAACAATATTGATCATGTGGCCTGCTATTTTTTTGGAATCACTTTTTTCCTACTTCAAGTAAATGTTGTTTCCATCATTTTTAGTTACCGAACACTCCACTGATCAATACCATTAGAATCAAAGAATGGCCTGGACCTTTGGTGTTATCAACTTTGAACCATAGAATTGGATGTGGTATCAAAGCATGGTCAAACCTACCCAATCCAAAACACCTAAAAAGAAGATCAAGAAGCCTGGAAGACTCGTAAAGAGAAACACTGTTCCTTTATCAGAAGTTTGTTTCATCCACTCGAATAACAAATAATTGGAATTTAACCGCACACAAAGAATGTATGGGTAAAATCAGCTAAAAGTGTTAAGTTTTCACACCAGCAAATCAATCATATACTGCATAAACTCTTCTTTGGCCTGAGCAGTGATTAAAAAATCCCATAAATATAACAGATTTCTTAGTGTTATACTAAATAATACAGCATACAGTTAAAATAAAGATACTTCAAAATAGCATATGCTAAAAATATTTATTCAAAAGAGTGAAAAATGCATTTAAAATAGAAGATTTTAAATGCGAATCCAATCCCCATAGACCAGTAGTTTGTTATTCGAATATGTTTGTTATTCGAGTCAAAGATTTGAATTCAATCCCCATAGACCAGTAGTGATGGGAATTCAAGTTTTGAATTCAAATGGGAATTATATGATTTTATTGCATTGTGTTTTTTAATTCCCCCAACAATGCATATTTGTTATTTTTGTAGACAAAGTTCTTTTTCAAAGCTTTTGGATAATACCTTCACTGCTAATTTCTACATGGCCTCAGTGTTGGATATTGTCAATGAGCATAATGTCATTGTGTTCTGAATGTCCATAGCTTAACATGTCATTCTCTTCTCATTTTGTCATTCCATCTGCATGTTGCTAATAATGACCTTGAAGTATATATACTTCATACATATTACTGTTATGAAATTTTCTTTTCATGGCATTAGCCGTTCAAGCAAGGACATTTTATATTATGAATTCAATGACCATACGCAATAAATGTGTAATATCAAAATATCCACACAAAAAAGGCAACATATTGTACAAACAAACTGTTTAGATAAGGATATTATGCAAAATGTCCAAATAAATTGATCAGATAATGACCTTAAGAATAAAAGAGGGCATTGCAAAAATGAACTGATCAGGTGAAGACATTATGAATAAGAAAATCAAATGCACAATCACCACATATAATGACCATGCATAGTAAATGGGTAAAAACAAAAAAAGGCCAATATATAGTTTAAACCAAGTGTTCAGGTAAGGACATTATACATAGTATACAAACAAACCAATCAGATAATTACATAAGTAATACTGTAATATAAATTGATCTGAGAAGGACATTATGGATACAAGTCTGCCAAAAATGAACTTCCTTGCCAATATTGATTAATGAAAGACTCGTAGTTCGGTTATCTTATAATAAACTCGAAGACTCATAGTATTTAAAGCATAATTATGCTCCGTGGATGTTCCGATTTGGACCGTTCACCCTTGAAATTAACAACAATGTGAACAACATCTCTTGGCTTCTCCATGGGGTTCGAAAGAGAACATTGTACAGAAATGAAGAAAGTATGATGCTACAAACAGTGATGGCAGAAGAAGAATGAGGAAGAAAGAACAAATAACGCTTATGGTGGAAGACAAATGAGGAAGAAAAGAGCTGATGCGGCATTGCAGATACTGATCTGTGCCGAATTGGGTAGAAAGTGGGAGATAATGCAGTAGTTTTCCACTAAAATAGGAACAATTAATGCATAATTATTATCTAAATAAGTAAACACTATTTTCTTTTAAATTAACAAAGAAACGGTTGCTACAAAGTAATTAAAAAAAGGGTAAATCTGCTATATACGGAGTAGGAAAAAACAACATTTATTAGTCCTATATAGAACAGATTATACTAGAACGAAGGAGAGAAGTGTAATATACCTGGGATAAGGCCAAAGAAATGAAGGGTGATAGGCAGCTGCTTGTAGCTCGGCAAATGTTGGGTGATCAGGATCATCATCGTCGTAGTCGTCGTCTTGCATAGGTTGAAGACCAAAGTAGAAAAATTCTTCGTTTTCCGGATCATATCCCATGATATGGTCCTCGGATGTGTACACCACGAGGCATGGGTTTTTCCATGTTGCAGCTACAAAATCTCTGAACATGTCAATCAGTTCCGGTTCGTCTTCTTCTTCGCCTTCGAATATGAGATGGAACCGCGCTGCTTTAGTCCATGAACGGCCATCATCGCCAAGTTGGTAGAGGAGGACAGGATGAGCATCCCCGGTGGCATTGGTGGCGGCGCGATAAGTGCAGACTCGATCACCCAAAATCCTTAATGTCGGAGCGCTTCGGGGGCCATCACTGCTGTCCCACAGTGGGAATGAAATGGCAGGGATGAAGGTGTGGTTCTCAAAGTTAAATCCGGAGACAGACCAACGGTTCCCGTGGTTTGAGGTCCAGAGGATGGTGTGGTCATGGAATGGATTTGTAGTGATGTCCGAGAGATGGGAACCGACTGGGAGGAGGAACGGACTTGTGACAGAAGTCCACGACTGGTTTTGGATGCCACCTACTGGGAGGGTGAAGATACGCACTGTGAGGCGCAAGAACTCTGCTCCTTCTTCCTCCTCCGGGGGGAGGCGGAGGAGAAGATGGAAGTCACCATGGGAATGACCGAAACCAACGGCTGTGTAGTGTACCTCATCCCCTCCACCAGCAGCAGCGACCCCAGGGGGGAGGGGGATAATAGGGCCCAACAGCCTCAGGTAAGGGTTCCAGATTTGGAACCTGCTGCCCACCCCCTCCTTCTCGATTTCAAGCAAGAGGACGCCCTTTACGGATCCCCGCAGAAACATCTTATCAACCCGATCCTCCACAGCCAAAGTGATGGGGAATAACCCCACACCGGCCTAGGGCTAACATCAGCGTAAATTTCCAAATGCCCGCCAAATTTCCTGCCCGGCTCTGCGCTCCGCTCGTCATTCCTGCCCGGCTCTGCGCTCCGCTCGTCATTCCTACCCGGCTCTACGCTCTGCTCGTCCTCCCTGCTCGGCCGACCAAAACGAGCCCCAGCCCCACGACAATGACATGCGGAAAGTGACCTTCAACGGAGACTTGAGTAAAGCGATAGGATGAAAGGGACAAGACGGGCGGAAAACGACGTTCAACGAAGACTTGGTGAAAGCGATAGGATGAAAGGGACAAGACCTAAGGACAGGTGACGTCCGCTAAACGACGGGCCTCGATCAGAGGGCTTTGACTTAGTGTATTTTACCCCCTATAAAAGGGGTGGCACCCCTCATTGTAATGGGACCGAATTTTGAATTCAATATACTCCCGCTTTGCGCACACACACTCTCTCTAAAACTTTATATTATTTCATACTCTCGGTGGTTTATAGCCATCAAATTGGTGCTCTCATTGAGAGGAGAGGAACATACTCGTAGGTTAACTCCCGAACGCGAGAATGGTGCAAACAAGGAGCAACGTCCCCACCACCAGCCAC